AAAGGGGAAGCATTACCCTGGCTTTGGTCTCCCGGGGAAGGGGGGCCAAGGAGGGTCAGGAGCCCACACTCCAGCGCTGTCTGTCTGTCTGGGCGAGGACTGGCTCCCTGGCCGTGTCCAGCGGATGAAAGGCCGGCCAGGTCACTCTGGAGTGGCTGGAAGCTGCCTGTCACCGAGCACTCGGCCACGCCCCGAGGAGAGCGGTGCGGAAGGGACGGGGGCGGTGACCGAGTGAGGACACAGAGCAGAGTCCGGGAGTCCGGGTGCGAGTCGTAGGTAATATCTTGGGAAGAGTAAGGGTTCAGGAGAGATTTTCCACTTTAACTCCATCGTGTTCACTGTGCCTCTTCCTCTCATTGATTCAGACTAATTGCAACGTGGCGTCATTTCCCAGCTGTTGGCATAAACTGGCTATTTGCCCATTTTTACGTGGCAGCTGCTCAGAGAGAAGGACGGCCTCCCCCTCCCGTCCCCGGCCCTGGGGACCTGCATGGGGATCTGCCTGTGTTCCCTACGGAGCAGCTCTGTCTGTGGCACCTTCTTCTCCCTGGACTTCTGGGCCAAGTTCAGTGTGGCTTTACGCACTCTAAGTTCTTGAAACTCCATCACATACACAAACATATAAAACTAGGTAACAGAAGCAGGCGGTCTTATTTGTGAAATAACTTATTGATGCTTCATGTTTGTTCTGGAAGTGAGGACCGTGCTGCTCAGCATGCCTTTTTTCACTAAACTTCCCAATGTTAGGAAATCTGTGCTTGGCTCTCGTCCTTGGACATCACAGATGAGCTGCTTTTAACTATGTCGGCTTTAATGTTATTGATGGTCTCAAAAATACCCTTTTAAAAAGTGTAAAAACTCTCCATTTGATTTGAGAAAGAGGACCCGCGCTCATTTTGCCAGGCCGCAGTACCTACAGGCGCACAATGTTGTGTCTGAAATGTAGGAAATAAAAACGGTGCTATGTTTTCCTTTATATGGGACCAGCACAAAATGTGCTTTTTCATATCATCTCGCTTCTTCTCCAAAGGCATTCCTGCCCCACAGAGCCAATGTTCCCGATTTTGTTTCTTTTCTATACAGAACTTCATAACATTTCTCAACGTACAGCTTCGGGAGAATTCTCTTGAAACTAAGCTAGACATTGGGGAAACAGTAATTTTTATTTTTTTACTTGAAAACTGTATTCACTGTGCTAACTAAACTATAGTAACAGGGGAAATGGCTCTGAGACAAACTGATCTACCCAGGGATGCCATGTTCCTTCACACTGAGGTGCACTTGACAAGTGCGGAAAGTTTTCAAACCCTTTGGGAGGAGGAAAAAGAAGGTAACTGATGTCTTAGATCCTTGAAACATATTCAATGTTTTGTGACTATCAAGGAGGCAGGAGAACTCATATATGAACAATATTCCTCTTACAGAACCTTTTCTGGAAGAGTCGGTGCGAATTTGTGAAGTTCATCGCAGTGTTTAAGGGAATTACTTGGGGTAATTGTTCTTAAAACCAGTGGAACTTTGTT